GTCATGAAATTAGTTGTTTGTTTTAATTTTGATTACTGATCCGCAACAGATGGATCAAGGTTATAGAAACACTTATAAACACTGACAGCAGGTAATTTAATTTCCACTCCTTAAAGTAGAGATTAAAAAGACAAGCAGTTTCAAGTTAACTGAGATTGGTCTCGGGCGAAATTCTTCAAATGCAATTCTTGTTAAAATAATTCCAAAAACAGCCTCTGAATCGTTAGAGAGGTGGGAAGAATTTATTCAGAAGCGAAAAACTATTCACTAATGACACGACGACAATCTCTGAACTTGAATTGTACTTAACAATTGTGGAATTTAAGCAATGCACTGAGATGATTCCAACATCTGTGTAACAGCGAACATCACCATCGATTGAACTTATCAATCAACAGGAATGAGAATCATCGAAATCTCCACAACCTCAGAAACAAATAACTGCTTTGATCTTGCTTGTTCTGTAAAAAGCTAGAGAGTAATTTGGCTCAAATAAATGAGTGCGTTGTTTATCTTGTTGCCTTTTAAAATTCATTTCTTGGCCTGTAGACGAGGATTTGGGGTTTGGAGATTGGTGATGGGTTGGATAGGTGGTCTTGGTTTGCATCATTTGAAGAAGGCCAAAATTGAGGGTTGCCATTGTTGAGTGAAAAGAAGATGCCTGCCCTGATAGCATTCACAATTCGGTCTCTCGACTGAAATGTGTTTGATTGCGTAGAGGAAAGGCGTGTGTTCTGTACATTGTTGGAGGATTAAAACTCAGATGAAAACCACAATATGCATAAGATGAATGGTTAGTCGATGTAGATGGGAGAGCAGTGGAGGTAATGTCAGTGGTAGAGGAAAGTGATGAGTGAGTAGGTTGAGCCGGGAGGACAATTTTTCTATCGATTACTTAAGAGCTTGTAAACCTTGCAAGTTGATGTGCGGTTAATGTTTGTGGATTGTGGAGTCAGAGGCTCGGTGCCCTTCCATTGATCGAAAAGACCAACAGCACTGGCTGAAGTGGGAGTTGTGGAGTTTGAATAACTCGACAGAAAGGCATATTGATGTGTCACCACTGCTCCTCAGGTCGTACTTGAAAAAAAGCGGCTTGAGTAGTGAGAATTGAGAAGTACTTTGACACCCCCAAATCGTAAAACTTGAATTATCAACGTCTTGATTCAACATAGTCCTTTCAATTTGAAACTCAGTGCTTTGTATGCTCAATCGTGACGCGGAAATGGAATATTTCGTTTATCGGAAATGCATGCAATGATAAGCAGGAAAAACTTCTAAAGTATGTGACCGTGTCACTTGAAAAACCGGTATCTTGCAATCTGTTCTTTCAGGAAGATAAGAGGCATAGTGTGTAGGTCATGCGTCACAATTGCTCCCGTAAATTGAATGGTGTCCACATCGATGAAGAAGCTACGAGCGTAGTTGAAATAATTGGAAAAGCCCGAAAAATCTTGTATGTTATTTTCTGCTACGCACCTTGGTTATGTCTAATATCCGTTTCATTTTTTCGACCAACAAATTTTTTTCTATTAACAAGTGTTGGGTAGATTTGGCGGTAGTATGTTGTTTGAAATTTGGAAGTGATGTTCGACGATGCTATTGGTGCCCAGGGTTCATGGCTATTGCAACTGGCAGCACAATCTCCTACATGATTACCACAAAATAATTTTGGCCATTGATTGTTCGGATAAACAAGTACTGACTTTGTTCGTTAGTTGGTCGTCTAGGCTTTGGTCATTGATTTTTATTGAGGGGCATTTGCCTTTGTCACGCTAAAGTTGTGTTCCCCACAAGCAAGAGTACATATAACTCGCGCCAACTGTTCGGTGACGTTTAATATGTAATCAGAATCGAAAATGCCAAATGAATATCTTACAAAGAAAAAATCTAAGCATGCTCGCTTCTTTTAAGTTTTTTGCAAAAAATCGAAGTCTTCCTCCAACTTAGAAAAAAAACATATCCATGTGTGGATATTAGATTTTTTGTTAAATTGAAATAGCCTGGAAACTTGTACAAATGCAAGCATTGTGCAAAATGACGTTATTTTTATAAATCTTCGTTTAAGTTATCAATACCACACTCCAAGTAACCTTGGTAACAGAAAACGACTAATGTTTAAAATTGTGAATTCCTCAATTTTTGCCCTGGGTGTTCTTTTTAAGAAGGAAAGTGAACAAATCATACATAACTACCGACTTAAATTATTATCCATGTTTCAATAGGATATTTATTTATTTATTTCAAATGGCAGGCGTTATGATAGGTATCATTAACCCTTTAGTTGACTTCGTTCACAGAAAGGAAGATAAACATCCAAGTGGTAAAAAGTCATCACAGAAAGGAAGATAAAAGTAAAGTGGCAAAACGTCGAGAGGGGGACAGAATAATGATTTCAACAGACGTAAAAGAGACAGACAGACACAAAGGTAGAAAAAGGTAAGATGAGTACTGCGAAATTATTCGAATATGAAATGCAGTGGGGTCTTGGTAGTTTGAAGTGAGAAGTCAACTGCCGGTTGCCATGGTAGTTTGAAGTCAGAAGTCAAATGCCGGTTAATAGACCCTTTTGCGGTATGAGTATACATTGCCCAGGGTGCACCACGTGGAGGTAGCCGAATGAGAATACGTTGCCCAGGGTGCACCACGTGGAGGTAAGGTGTAGTATACATTGCCCAGGGTGCGCCACGTGGAGGTAAGATAGCTTGAACTCAGAAGTCAACTGCCAGTTAATAGACTTACTTGCCGTATGAGTACACGTTGCCCAGGGTGCACCACGTGGTGCCTTATGAGTATACGTTGCCCAGGGTGCACCACGTGGAGCCGTATGAGTAAACGTTGCCCAGGGTGCACCACGTGGAGCCGTATGAGTATACGTTGCCCAGGGTGCACCACGTGCCGTTTGAGTATACGTTGTCCAGGGTGCACCACCTGGAGGTAAGTCTATCGTGAGTATACGTTGCCCAGGGTGCACCACGTGGAGGTGTATGAGTATACATTGCCCAGGGTGCACCACGTGGAGGTAGCCGTATGAGTATACGTTGCCCAAGGTGCACCACGTGGAGGTAAGCCTATCGCACACCCCTCAATAGGATATTAGATGAGGTAAACTGTTTTTTTTAGAGTCTGTGTTATCTGATGGAATATTTGAGAGCAACTTTTGTGCTTCTTTCGCTTTACTCTTTCCGGTTTCTGATCTTGCGGTCCAACCATTTTGTTTTTCACAAGACAAACCCATAACAAGCCTTGTTTTGTCGGCATTAGAAATGCAACTCGTTTTATTTTAAAAATAGGCAACTTTGAAACATCTTTAGAAATTCTCTAGTACCCAGATTTGCAAAAATTAAGTGCTTATGTAGATTTTGAATAACTGTGGTAAAACTTACGCACTTATTGTCAGCAATTTTGCTAAAATTGTGTTCTATTGAATGGAGATATGAACTTTCAAGAGTGAAACAGAGGTCAAATTCAGATCAATAGTGAACCCTGAACGAGAGGAATTTATAGGTTTAATTTAAATATTTACCAGGAACTTTTCTCATTATTTTTTTAAAAGTGCTTACAGATTAAGAAAATGTTCTCGAATACTAATCCCATCACAGTGAGAAATCATTTAAAAGACGAAAATTCATTTAAATTTGAACCATTTTTTTCACTCCACTAGATCGATAGTCAATTCAATATTTTTTCGCACTCATTGCAAATTGTGTTATAATATAAAGTTTTTTTTCATTTTAATGAAGAAACTTCAATAAAGTTAAATGCGTATTTCAATGCGTCTAGATTGAATTAAAAGTTAGTTTGAACTTTATACATCTTAACGAAAATCATACAAAATTAGAAAAACCACATTGTGAGAGGTCAGTTGCAACTGTATTCAGCTAGAAGTAATTCTAAAACTAAACTCTGAATTTTGTAGAAATTTTCTTAAACTCAACTTTAGCTGACAACGTTATTATTATTTCAAATGGCACCCGTTTTGAATAGCTATCATTAGCCATTTAGCTGACTACGGTCTTTACAAAGAGAGGAACATCAAAGTGAGTAAAATTCGAGAGGGGGAACAAAGGAGTGATTTTTACAGATGTGGAAGAGACAGACAGACACAAGGTAGAGAAAAGGTAAGATGAGAACTGTGTAAGTTGTGGAAAATGACATGCACTGGGGTGATGGTAGTTTGAAGCCAGAAATCAACTACTCGTTAGACTTTTTTCCGTATGGGTATACGTTGCCCAGGGTGCACCACGTGGAGGTAAATCTATCTTCTGGCATCTCAGTTGCGGACAAATCTTTCGCCTTTTTCTGTTTCTGTCAACATGGAAGCCAGTTTAAAGGCAAAAGAGAGAATAAGGCAATGGTTCTCGATGGGGTAAGTGTAATCGAAGCAAGTGACAATCTAATCTAACGAATGGGCGTTTGTTTTATGCCAAACGATGTTAGAAAAAATACCATATCATCTATAGTTACATTGCTCTTCAAGTAATTCAGGTATTGGCGAAAATGCATTGCCAGGGGGTTATAACAATTGAAAATAATGGAGGTCACCAAGTTGCTAACTAACTACCAATAGACAAAGACTCAAATTTACCAAATGACGCATCGTGATTTTCTCCTTATTCACTCTGAACTAAGCAGCATATGCTCAAAGATACAACGTCACGGGTGACGATTATTTCAATTAAGACCTAAAGAAAAGTGACCTCAAATCGAGTAAAGTACAGAAAATTTACGAAAACTGAGCGACATTCTACAATTTTAAAATTCGGATCAATTGCATGCTTTTTCGATAATTGGTCAACGAGTTTAGAGGAGAATTAAGCAGCCAATGAATGGACACCTCGGTTGCGCTTGAGAGCTAATCACTCGTTGCCAGGTGATGAGTCAATGATTGCGATCGGCTTTCATCCATCAGTCGTGTATCTCGCTCTATCATTTCATCCGATTTGCAATGTCTGGCAAGTCCTACCTTGAATTACTCGACTTTATATTTCTGCTTGGTTTTTATGCAAAGTGTAACGGTATTTCGAATTTCAGGACATGGTGAAAGTAATGTTGATTCCCTCAAGGACCTTTGCATTCAATTCATTGTGAGAAATTTCAACACCTTAGTGACAAGGTGCTCGGATGGTGAAAATACGAAATATGTTTGGCGTTTCTACCACTCACTTCATTCATCCGATGAAGCATTTTTAGTCGGCCTTATCATGTTTCACCTGGTTGAAGCTGGAGTGTTGAAATGTGAGCACTTGGGCCTCTTTTCCAAGGAATATGTCAATTTATACGCCGTCCGTCTTCGTAACATGCATTTGACTCCAGAATCTCTCTCCTTCCTTCGTGGACATAGTCTCGTCTCGTTATCGGCAGCAGATATTACCGGTGTAGATGGACTAAATCTAGTGCTCAGCCTCGATGAAACAAATTTGGCCCATCTTAAAAAGTTATGTTTGACAGGCACAACGGTGCCGCATGCGGTGATTCTACCATTGATAACTGCCTTGGGGAACTTGAAAGCGTTGCTAAACCTTGAACTCAGTGGAATGGATTTGAATTCTGAACACCTCCGTGAGTTGGTGCTAACTTTACCACGATTGGAAAGCCTCGACATCTCCTTGACGATGGTCAGCAACATCGAGTTCTTGAGTGACTTGAAGGATAGTCTGAGAGAGCTGAAGATGCATTCCCTTAGGGTCCCACAAGGAAGGTGTTTCGAACACATTCTGTCGACGATTTTGAAGTTGCAAAATCTCCGCATCCTTGATGTATCGTACTACTTGAAGGGTGGAGATGTGCGTTGCCAGAGCGTCGATCGTTTGTGTGAACCTGGAGTTTTGCCGCATTTAGTGCAATTGGATATGGGTGGCAACCCATTCGGCTTGACTGTCGAGGATGTCAAGTGAGTACTTCAACTCCTTAATACTTTTTCCACTTCATCGAGCCCCCTTCTTTAGGATTTGGGACGCCAAGTTATGGGAACCATTTTACGAAAATGCAGAGAGCATCATTGACTTTTGTTCTATACGAGATGACAACTGCTTCTCTCTATCTCTCTCTTTCAGAAAATTGATCGAGAACCATTCGGAACTCAATTTTCTCGGTCTGGCGTCTTGGACACCACCTGACGATTTGTCTTATTTCGATCGACTGCGTGCCCAGTATCCCACCGTTACCGTAAGCTGCCGATATCTTCTCTTTTTCCTCATTAAGCGCTTGTGTTCAAGGTAGGACCTCTGCTTAGGCATATTCAGCAGAACTAGTTTCCCTATTTGTGGAATGTCGGGAGTATATTATTATTGCCTGGCTAGTAGTGGTCAACTTTCACATTCTCTTGGATATTAGTTTGCCTTTCCTATAACTTTTGTTTCTATCTGTGTTTTTCAGGTTCTCGGTGGTAATAGTGCGGAGCAAATGATAAAGGCTATTAAAGAGTATTCGGGAAATAGCCCTCATCTCCTCCACACCTTCGAGCGTATAGAGAATTTTGTAAATAGCGATGCCTCTTACATGACATCGAATTTGTTGAAGGTGAATTTTATTGTTAATTTCGGTTCCTTTTGCGGTAACAATGCCTTCAGCTGCTAAGGGTCGCGTATTCACTTCCCTTTCAGCATGTAATCAGGGCAGTCATGATGAACGTATCGCGGTGTTCTATCCTAACCCGTGGTCTTAGGATACTTCACAATTGTGCAGTGCGACACGTGACAGAAGATGATTACTCGAGATTGCTAATCCAAAAGATTGTAGATATTAGCTTTATTGTAGCGGAAATGTACCATGGAGAGAAGGTTGCCAATGACGCCGCTGCCACAATCGAAATTCTAATGCAACTCCATAGATACGTAAGTTGCTTGTTACAACCAAGTCAAAGAATGCAGGCCTTATTTGTTATTGTTGGTAAACAAGTAGTCTTTTGCTTTGTAGGACATTGACAGCAAACAATTCTATGAAATGGTACTGCAAAATGCGATCTCTGCAGGTTGTCTTAGAGAGAAAGATAAAGCAATTACTAGACTGCTTTATTATCTGGTGACGGTAAGAGGCAGAGATTGTGAAATATATGCTACAAGTAGACGAGTATTAGCTTATTCTTTTGTTTTATTTGCGTGACCCCCCACTCCCTTCCCCCCTCCCCCACCCGCCCACATCCCGACCTAATCTCTCTCCAAATGATCCAGTTTCACTACTGCCGATTGGGAACAGACAGCTATTACACTCCATGAACTGGTATCGAGACGCCAGATCATAGACACATGAGATCACACGTCTCAGGACGGAGAGGTTTGCAACCTCAATGATTTAGACCACTCTGATAAATTTACAACTAAGAGAGCTGTTACACGTCATTGTCAGCGAAGCAGTTGGAATGGCATAACTCACAGTATTTCCTTCCAATCATGAGTCAGGTTGCCACAAATGTCTCGTCTAAACTCTTATCCATTTATAGATGCCTCTCGCCGATTTGGATGAAATTAGCACCAATGAAAGATTGCTGAAGTTTCTAATCTGGTGTTCAGCTGTGGTCTCTTTGGAGAAATCACAGGTGGAAGAGATTCAAGCCAGACTCAATGACCACGATTTGTCCTATCTCGTTACCGATTTTCCCCGTTTTCCTCCAGCCTATAACCCTTGTATTGTGCCAGCAATACGGCGGTTAGTCACCTCAAGACCACGCGTTTGTAGAATGTTTGCGAACTTGGGTGGTGTGGAAGTGTTGGAGGAAATGTCCAAGGTAAGAAAGTCAAGATGGGGACGAAATTATCTGAGCTCAGGCTGAACCCAATCACATGGAGCGTGCTTGATGAAATAGCACTTTGTAGTATATTAGTATTCAATTAATGCCTTTAAAACATGATGTTTAAGGAATAATTTCTTTAGGTCGACATGAGTCCGTTTGTTATAACGACGGAAATTGCTGCAACGGTGGAAGCTGTCCAAAACGGTTTGGAGGAGAGTGCCAATGAACAGCCCAATTCAATTTAATTTCAAAGTTGATTGAAAGCAGCTGCTTCCTACTTTAATCATTTTTAATCAATACTTTTGTAATTATTATTACTTTGTACATTTTTGAGTAATAAAGCTTTTGTGCCATATTTTTTAATCCTTGTGCAGTTGAATGTGGGAAGAGTGAAGTCGGGTTATTGTCAGATGTCGAGGCAGTACTTTACCCGATGGGGCTACTTTGGGAAGAAAAGTAAATGACACTGAATATATCGACATACATACGCCTAATGCCAACAGGAAAGAGGTAACATTTCAAGTGGGATGACCAGGAGGTAGGTGGAAGCACGCTAGCACTGGACAATTGGGGTCGAGTGAGAGGTGGAGAGAGAAGAGGCAGAAGAAGGAGTTGGGAAGAAAGTGGAAAGTGACAGCACTGATTGGGGCAACTCGTGTGGTAATAATTGGGGAAAATAAGGCGACAGTTTGGTTTCGTGTACTTTGTCCACTCAAGGTCAACGGAGAATGAGAGCAAGCGCATTTGTTTGAGTGTGCTGGAGCAAGCTTCTGTTTCCATGGTTCATTTTTTGTTTACTGACACTGCTGAACTGCTCGTTTTTTGATTTGCTCTCAACTCGGGAATTGGATCAATATTGGGCCCAACTGACATAGTTTGGAGGGGGGTGGTGGTGAGGGTGGAGGGTTGTTATCGTACATACCTATAGTCAACGACCTGGTTGATGGAGCAGGAAAGCACTAAATCAGAGTGTATAATGAGGGTTTACCATTCATTCGATTCACGAAATTTCATTGATCAACTAGCAAGGGACTACAGCACTTCTGATAAGGTGCAATTGGAAATAGCATAGCTTTAGAGGCCTGAATGTTCTCACTCACACTGTCCTCTTTCTATCTTTCCCTCTTTCTTTGATTGGATCAGCGAACTTTCGAGTCTGACTCACTCATTGCCTTTGTGTAATTAGTAATCTTTCGTACCACTTTAGACTTTCACGTCATTAGATTTATCGAGAATCGGTGGTCTCAGTGTTGCATCACCCCCCCCCCCTCCCACCTCCTCCAGGCCGAGATTTTGCAAAATATCTGGAACTGTGCCAGAAAGGAAGCGATTAAAGTTCATTCTCATTTCTTCATCTATTCCAGAATGCAAATTCAATCTCTCTGTCCAACAGAAGAACTGCCAGGGATAAAGTACAAAACGCACCATTTAGTAGTGCTATCATAAACAAGCAAAAGGACCTCAAGTTCATCTTACAAACCACGGCACTAAGAGGCTACTTGCGATGACACTACAATAATTTATGTTTTCGACGTATTTTCATATCCATCTACCAAATCGTTGTCACTTCCATTTTCACGATTGGGAAGGGGGGGGGGTAGTGACAAAGTACTGCAAACTCATTAGCATAAGGTATATACTGTTAACTTATGTAATTCAAATTCACTCGCCAACTCCCAATTCTCACTACTCCAGCCACTTTTTTTCAAGTACGACCTGAGGAGCAGTGATGAGGCATCAATATGCCTTTCTGTCGAGTTATTCAAACTCCACAACTCCAACATTAGCCAGTGCTGTTGGTCTTTTCGATCAATGGAAGGGCACCGAGCCTCTGACTCCACAATCCACAAACATTAACCGCATATCAACTTGCAAGGTTTACAAGCTCTTAAGTAATCGATAGAAAAATTGTCCTCCCGGCTCAACCTACTCACACATCACTTTCCTCTACCACTGACATTACCTCCACTGCTCTCCCATCTACATCGACTAACCATTCATCTTATGCATATTGTGGTTTTCATCTGAATTTTAATCCTCCAACAATGTACAGAACACACGCCTTTCCTCTACGCAATCAAACACATTTCAGTCGAGAGACCGAATTGTGAATGCTATCAGGGCAGGCATCTTCTTTTCACCCAACAATGGCAACCCTCAATTTTGGTCTTCTTCAAATGATGCAAACCATGACCGCCTATCCAACCCATCACCAATCTCCAAACCCCAAATCCTCGTCTACAGGCCAAGAAATGAATTTTAAAAAGACAACAAGATAAACAACGCACTCATTTATTTGAGCAAAATTACTCTCTAGCTTTTTACAGAACAAGCAAGATCAAAGCAGTTATTTGTTTCTGAGGTTGTGGAGATTTCGATGGTTCTCATTCCTGTTGATTGATAAGTTCAATCGATGGTGATGTTCGCTGTTACACAGTTGTTGGAATCATCTCAGTGCATTGCTTAAATTCCACAATTGTTAAGTACAATTCAAGTTCAGAGATTGTCGTCGTGTCATTAGTG